AAAAAAAAAAGATGTCGGAAAATCCGATGTTGAGGCAACGGAATTGCAGGGCGAAAGGTGGGTCTCCAGGTTTTAAGGTGGCGATATTAGGTGCGGCCGGAGGTATAGGGCAGCCGCTCGCAATGCTCATGAAGATGAATCCTTTAGTCTCGGTGCTTCATCTTTACGACGTCGTTAATGCCCCCGGCGTCACCGCCGACATCAGCCACATGGACACTGGTGCTGTTGTAAGTAAACCCCCCTCTGTGTATGTATTATCGTGCTTTCTGGGTCTGCTTCACTATCATGTGTTTTTCTGTTTTTACTTTTTAGTGTCTGTGTGGTGCTCATTGTGCCGTTTGTCTCTGTAATTATGTTTTACGATCGTGCCTTGTCGTATTTGTGTTTCATGTCGATGTCGTGCCAGCCATTGCCATCCCGCCTACTAAATTTGCTCCTTCTAACTGATGTTTAGCATTCAAATCTGAGTGAAATGATCAAAACGGGGGAGAGATTGGAAGAAATTATTTTTGTAACATCAACAAGAAAAAAAAAAAAGGAATACTAAGACACCAGCTAAGTAATGGTTGAAGGGAGCTTTTGTTGTATCTTTTACTGTAAAAGATTTGATTAAGTCTTACAAATGGCATCCTCATTAAGTCAAGAATGTGTTACTAACACTTTTATCGGGCATATCTGTTATTCAATAAAATAACAAGATTCCATTGTTATCAGGGTTAAGTTTCGAGTAGTTTTCGTAAATGTTTCGCACAAAAAAAAAGTAATCAATCAATCTTTTGATAATTATAAATAACCCCTGGGCATCTATCTCTATTTTAGGATTATACGAATTAGTTCTTATTTCATATTTCTTTTAACGTATTCTTTAAATAAATGGAGAAGTATACAAGAATGACGAGAGACACTGATCATCCCGAAAAACTCCTTTATGTTTTTTTTTTTCATTCAAAAAAAAAAGGTGAGGGGTTTTCTTGGGCAACCACAACTTGAGAGTGCTCTTACAGGGATGGACCTTGTCGTAATCCCAGCTGGCGTGCCGAGAAAGCCCGGGATGACCCGGGACGACCTTTTTAACATCAATGCCGGCATTGTTAAGACATTGTGTGAAGGCATTGCCAAGTGCTGTCCTAATGCTGTTGTCAATCTCATCAGTAATCCCGTGAACTCTACGGTCCCAATTGCGGCTGAGGTTTTCAAGAAAGCCGGGACTTACGATCCCAAGAAGCTCTTGGGGGTCACCATGCTTGATGTTGTGAGAGCCAATACTTTTGTGGTATGTTCTTTTTATTGCATCATTTATTTACAAGATTGTTGCTCAAAACTAGTAGTTGAAGTTAGACTTTGATACTGTGTCTGTTTAAATGCTTATTTTGTTCGTAAAAAGCAGCTGGAAGTAGAATTGAAAATTAAAAAGTCACCCCTCGAGCATTTGGACTCTATTATACGCAAATACTTTTGCTGCTAAAATGAGTTTTGATAGATCGGTTGTAAATAAATGCATGGAACAACATAAATTTGCCAATTGCTATGCTCCCTACTATATGATTTTGATTAATGCATTGACAATCACCTTTTTTTAAATATTTTACAAAGAGTTAGAATAGTATGTATAGAACTATTACTTATAAATTTCAGTAAAAAGTAGCTATGATCAACAAGAGAAGATTTCTTTATTTAGCGAGCAATTTACAGGACAAAACTTTGGTTCTCATTATCTTGCATCGACAAGTTGAATATTACCTTTTTTTTTCCTGTAGGCTGAAGTTATAGGACTTGATCCAAGGGAGGTTAGTGTCCCTGTGGTTGGAGGTCATGCAGGAGTGACCATTTTGCCCCTCCTCTCGCAAGTATGACCGTCTTACACAATTTCTTCTCAATAGCTACATCTATCAATTGGGTTAAACATAAAATTAACATGGCTTTACTGTATCTGCAGGTGAAACCAGCTTGTTCTTTTACTCCAGAGGAAACCGAGTACCTCACAAAACGCATTCAAGATGGTGGAACAGAAGTAGTTCAGGTATAATGAATTTTTCTTAGCATATATATGAAAAAAAGTGATTGTTGAGTTTCATCATAACATTACATATAAATATTGAAACTCTGTTGCAGGCAAAAGCAGGTGCAGGCTCGGCAACTCTATCAATGGTACGTAATCTCTGAACTCGTTCACACTGCGATATTTTACAATATTAAAGATTATAAAGAACTATATCAAAAATTATTTTCAGCGCATCAAGCAAGAATTAGGAATATAACATACATGTATTGTGTGAGTCAAAATTTGTAGGCATATGCAGCTGTAAAATTTGCTGATGCATGCCTTAGAGGCTTAAGAGGCGATGCTGGCATTGTCGAATGTGCTTTTGTAGCTTCACAGGTAATTAACATGAAACACGACTTTTGTGGAGATTATAATTAAAACATTCCTGAAAAAAAAAAGAAAAAAAAAAACGAATCTTTGCTTTG